TGATCTGAATAGGGATTGGGCAGGGATGTTGTCCAGAGAAATCAAGCCCTGAATCAGTGGTTGATGTTGATTACCTTTCTCAAGCTCCTTTCTGACATGGAAAATACATGAAAGTTATAATAGGGTATTACCGTATCAGAGCTCTCAGAAGCTTTATATTATGATTGTTCTTTCACTCCTCTGATCTTCCACTAGAGTGTAACCTCCTTAAAGGAAGAGAGCATGCTTACCTTGTTTACCACCGTATTCCCTGTGCCTAGTATTGAACAGGTGCATAGTAGATCCTTAAATATTTGTTCAGCTGAAGTGAAGGTTGTTTCTTGCGTCCTATTGTACCTGCTATTCTTGGAGCGCAAGAAACTTAAGGCAGGTAAAGAGTTGACCCTTCATCTCTATTGTAGTGGCCAACTTACTCATTTTCTTGAAAAGAAAAGAAAATAGTCACATAGTACAGATACATTTTTTAGTTGGTGGCGAGACTTTTGAATTATATGCAATTTAGTTGTCTAATTTCTGTGGTAGTAGAGTAATTGCATGATGTTTATAAAACATTTTATTACCATGTAACATTAGCAATAAGAGAGTTGAATCTTTACATCTCGCTGTTTTTGTTAATTTCTGCCTGATTGAGAAAATTAAAACTTAATTTTCTTACAATAATGACTCTTGCATTGCAATCACAACTTCAGCATTAGAATTTATAAGTAAGTCAGCCATTTCTCTTAGTCTTAAGGGGTTGAGAGTCTGGAGTGATACTTTTATAATTATACAATACTCATCTAATACTATACTAAGTTATATTTAATATAGCTGATCATAAATGAAGTTTAATAAACTCTGATTGCTTGACTAATGCATAATCTTATTGCTTTTCCAGAGTTGATTTTAATGAAAATATATGGTCACTATACATATTGGTACAATATGCCCTTATTGTAGTGAGCATGTTCATTAGATTTGCATAATACAAACTTACTAAAATGATTTTAATCAGTGCTTTTAATTCAGGAATACGACTCTAATAAAGATTTTTTGGGGGGGTCATTTTTTGTTTCTGATTTTTTTTTAACTGCATAGTAGCTCTGTAGTTTGTACACAGAAGTAAAATCTATGTTTACTTGCAGTTGGTGTTAGAGAGATACACCCACCTGCATAAATGAAATTTGAGAGCTTGCACCTGAAGAGTGTCGTTATAAATGAAAACAATTTTTTGGTGTTTCTGTTGTTATTCTCGAGTCCTTTTATACCTTTCTTTTTTGACTAATATAAAAAGATAATTGTGTAGCAGAAATGGTTTAATATTGTTTGCAGATCATTGAATCTTAACTTATACAATTATTTTAATGCATTTTTAATGTAAGTGGCTAAAAATTACCCCTTCTGAAATTCAGCCTCTTCATATCTGCTTAAAGATTTTCTTTTACAATAGACCATATTTGTTCTTTTTTTCTGAACAGTGATAATGAAGAGCTTTAAATCGTAGTATTATATTAATGAAAGCAGATTTTTACATGAGGGAAATCTGCGAAAATATCCATATTAAATTTATGCGGTTATACAGGATTGTCCACTCTAGTTGAATGAAATTAACAAATCAAGAAATCAGGAGCAGAGTGTTTTTCTTTGTTTCTTTATCACAGGTAATTAGGATAATTTTTTACACAAGTATAATTTTCTATGTGCCTTAGGGTACTCTGTCATTCTTGAAGATGCCTGTTAGGAAAAAAAGTTCTTTAAGAATAAAACAAAGCACAGTCCTTCTCTAGTATTTTGACCAGGGGTCCACATTTGGTTTATCAACAACTAAACTTTCAATTCAAGGGCAGCTCTAGAATTAGAAATCTATATCGCAAAATGGACATTCCAGATCAAAGGGAACAGTAGGGGTACAAACAGGACATCATAGGAGTATGCACTGGGAAAGAGGATTTTTAATTTTGTTTTCTATAGAATAGGGGTCATAAGAGAAGAAGTAGAAGGTAGCCTAGAGCTGAATCATACAGGGCTGTAAATTCCATATTAAGAATATACATCTTTAGGTAGTCAGGAAGAATTGAATGTTTATGAACAGGAGGGAGTATGATATTCGTTCATACTCATAATTGAACCTCAATGTGTCAAACACTGCTTTAGGCATTAGGGGTACATCCCTAAATGAGATGGGCAGAAATCCATGTTCTCGTAGAGCTTACGTGTTTTTTGTTGGAAAAATAGATCAAGATAACGATAATGAAGTAAATTATAAACTATGTTAGAACATGCTAAAACTTGATCAGGAGTGCCAGGAATGTGTAGAGGGAGGTGGATGTTTCCATTTGAAATAGGACAACAGGGTAGCTTCACTGAGCAAAACCTTGGAAGCTGGGTGAGGGAGTAAGCCATATGGACCATGGAAAAAGAGCATTCCAGGCAGAGAGAAGAGCCAGGGCATGTGGCTTATTGCCTCGTTGGGGAGCTGTGAGGTGATCAGTGTGACTGGAGCTGGGGGAATGAAGGGACAGTAGTAGGAGATAAGGTCAAGGGACATGGAGAATGTACAGATCAGTAGGGCCTTGTAGGCCATTGTAATGATTTTGACTTGCACTAGGAGGAAAAATAGAGCCCTTGGAAAGTGTTGAGCCAAGGATTGACATGATGTGACTTCAGTTTTCACAGTGTCACTTTGTCAGCTGTGTTCAAAATTAACTGTAGGAGAGCAAAGGTGGAAGCAAGGAGGTAGATTAGGAAGTCACTACAGAAATCTAATTGAGAGCTGATGGTGGATTGCACCACATCTTTGCAGACTGCAGAATGATTATCATGGTACTGGATAGCTTCTTGGCTATTGGAATTGAAGGAGAGGAAGGAGAACAACGTGATGTGGAAGTCTTAAACCTAGACAAGTGTAATGCAGGTGGAGCCAGTAACCAATGTTAGTCTCTTGTTTGTAAAATGAGAGGCTTTTACTAGATTATCTCAAATTCCATCTAACTTGAATAGTTTCTGCCTCTATACTTTGTGGTTTAATATAGACAAAAAGTATGTTAATTCCAAAGAAGAGTAGTAAGGGGAAGAGAAGACTTCAGTCTCGTCCCATAAGACCAAGTGAAAATATTGCTAGCAATGCTTTTTTCTTGTGTCTGTCTCCCATGATTAAACTGTCAACATGTATTCAATTGAGATACAGATTTAAAACATTTTAGACATGTGTACCTTAACTTAGATAATTTGACTGAAGCAAATAGTATTTTCCCTTAATTTATATTTTTGCTTTGGAGATATAGATGGGTTTCCAGCCTGGAGTTTATAACCCCAAAAGGTGGGAAGAAAAGGAAAGCAGTGGTTGCATGAAGAACTGTATAATATGTCTCAAAAACTCAGGGGGACAAGCACACATTGGGGTGGTAGCAGGGTTAGTTGAGGCACTTTTGGTACTTTGTCATTTTCTCTCTGATTTGGTGTTGCAGGAAATCATGAAGCTGGCCATTTGTTTAAAACAATTTTCTATAACCCATTAGAAAAATTAAGGAGAAAATACCTGGTAGAGAGAGTTGCAGGGTAAATTCATCCTTCTTAAGGTGGTTTCAGTTCTGATATAAATAATCGCAATTTTTTTCCTAGGCAGTAAAGATTGATTGGGATTTGTGTCAGCAGGATGTGATGAAGACATGTACAGAAATTAGAAGTTTAGATCCCTGTGGGAATCAATGGATTAAAATTAGTAAAGAGTTATGCATAGAATAGTATATTTTCCACAGCTGATCTGGGGAGGATGGTCTTTAACAGCACTGGATTGGTGGTATTTAATGACAATATTCTGAGATCCTGAGACCAAGCAATTTTCATTTACCTAAAACATAATGGAATCCTCCCCACAGTGAGAAGACCCTATTTTTTTAGTGTGCATGACCAAGTTGATACACATTATTCAGTTTCTGTTGTAAGAAATCTATAGGATCTGGCAGAACATTAAATTTAATTTCTAACAGACAATTTAAAAAATCTGTTTCTTGGCCTGCCTCGGTGGCTCATACCTGTAATCCCAGTACTTTGGGAGGCCGAGGCGGGTGGATCACGAGGTCAGGAGTTCGAAATTAGCCAGGCGTGGTGGTGGGTGCCTGTAATCCCAGCTACTCAGGAGACTGAGGCATGAGAATTGCTTGAACCTGGGAGACAGAGGTTGCAGTGAGCCAAGACTATGCTACGGTACTCCAGCCTGGACAACAGAGCGAGACTCCGTCTCAAAAAAAATAAAATCTGGTGCTTTCCTAATCACACCCCTAATTGGTACTTCAACATGTTTATAATAAGAACTATATTTCATGCCCATCGTATGTTATTGTGAGGTCTTGAACTATCTTCTGAATCATGGAAGATTACTACATTGTTAGGTATTGCTTTAATATTACTGTACTCAAATTCTTCAAATAATGGTGTCATATATGTTCAATTTTCTGTTCAAATAAGTTTAATTTTATTTAGAATATTCTATTAAAATATTTGTAATATGTTTATAAGAATATTTTTAAAAAATAAGTTGTTTTATTTAAAATCTTTATACAAGTGTCCTTTAAATATCCATCAGGAGTAACACAGTTCTTAGGCCACACTGTTTCATTATATTTCATTCCTGTTAAATGTGACATTTTTCCTATTGTACATGTTGTTTTTTAAATTTAGATATCTTAAAAGCCTGAAGATTCATTTCCAAACTTTTATGTAACTTGCCAGAGCATATGATTTTGTTGTATCTTTTCTCACATATCAGCACAATGGTAGTGACATCTGATCTAGGTCTGATTTGGGAACTTGGGAACCATATTTAAAAACAAATCAATACACTTTCACCAAACCTTCATTTTTAATCATTAAAAACTTTTTTTTTCTTTAAAGAATGTATTGTTTATATGTTTGAACGTTCTGGTTCTTTTTGACTGTTTACAGTTAATAAAAATGAAAATTATTAAATGATTTCTTGTTTATAAATTTCTCTTATCTGATTGGCATTTCTTCTTTTTGTTTGTTTCTTTTTGGTTTTAATAGAACATTCAAATAAAAACTTTGGCAGATGATGTGGTAAGGTGGTCTTAGCAGCATGCTATTACATTACTTATGCATGTTGCCTTTTTATTAAAATAGGTGGACATAAAAGCATTGATATATGTAAGATATGAAATGTCTGGATATTTACAAAGTATAGAAGAATAGAATAATTGTCAATAGAGTGATTTCCTTTACAAATATTAATAGAAACAATTATATGAGATCCCAACAGAATTTTGATATCATCATCCTGATATTTACCTTAATCAAATGTTTTTTTAAATCTCCATGTCAATCTAGACTCTGGAAAACACAGATGCTTCCTTTTTCGATGGCCAAATAAATTGCAAATATATTAAACGTTAATGTTGGAGGAAATTAATTTCCATTAGAAAGGAAATTAAGTTCATTATGTTGGTCAGATGTGTGCTACTGAATTTAAAAACCAATATTTTAAAGCTGAATTTATCATAGTATATCTTATTAAAATTATGGACTCAATATTTAAATATACCCTTTTATAGTTAAACTATAAAAATGGTAATTTGAGCATTATCGTCTTCTTCTATGTGAAATTACCTATCTACAAATAATGTAAAGTATTCTTAGGGCTCAAAGGAGATGAAGGTATGTGGCTTAACTACATTTTCTTACCAAAGTATAGCTGAAATCAAAAGCTAATTTTTTAGATAAACTGAAAGTCACAGTAGAAGATCAAATATATATGTTATTAATGGTACTCAGAAAAAAGGCTAATACTGCAAAAGTAAATATTATGTGATGGGAAAGGAGAAGGGATATGTCGATTTAATGGTCAGTTGCATATTTAAATGCTTTCATGTCCACTATATTTTTTAGAGAAATTTGATTATCGGATATATCCTCAGCTTATTTGGGATTACTTAACTTTTCTCTTGAGTTGTTTGAAGATATACTATATAACTAAACCAACTTAATTTCCCTCGAAAAGTTAAAAGAAAATGTGAAAATATAGTTCATGATGATTAGAAGAAATGAATCTTAAGTTAATGTGAAGACTGGGATGGGAACCAGGGGCTGGTGGATTTAGGGAAGTCACCTTCTCTGTGAAATGAGGGAATTGGTTTAGATTATTTTTCAAGTTTCTTCTCAGCTCTAAAATATTATGATTTATATAATCTCTTTGTAAGCAACCATGTACTCACATCACTTTTGTAATCCTAAATAAGCTGCTTAAAACTGCTCATGTTTCTTTCAAAGTATACCTTTTATTTTTTATAAAGTATTCTTTGACTTAATAAAATAAAAGATATACTCACTCATGAGGAGTTCACATAATTTTACATAAGCTATGGTAATAACTTCTGTGATGCTTTTTGTATTGTTGAAGTAATTATATAAGGATCTGGTAACATGGTAGTGAAGATGTACTGTACTGATATTTAACATGTCTGCTTGTTTAATGTGAGCTTGATGGTATGCATGTGCTTCCTAACAGAAACCATAATAAAACTGAGTTGCATTCAGTTTTATGCACATTACTAATTTTTGATGTCTCACGTTTTGTGGTTTAAAATAGAATATCCCATTTACATGCAACTGAAGTCATTAACTCAGTTTATAGCAAGCTAATTATTAGAGATTTTGCATAGAATCAATGGTTCAAAGTCAATATCCATAAAACGGCAAGTTCATAATATTAATATTTGTAGGAATAAGAAATTTGTTTGTTTTATTTCCAGTAAATAGCAAAGGTGATGTTTTTATCTTTGTTTTGCTTTGTCGTTGGTCCCAAATTTTAGGGAAGAAAAAGCTGGGGAAAATAATCATAGTAACAATAATAATAAATAGCAGCTAAGTACAATAAACATATTAACTTATTTAAATTTCACAATAACCCTATGGAGTAAGTAATGTCATTATGCCTATTTTAGAGATAAGGAAACAGAGAGAGACCAAGTAACTTTCACAGGGTTACTCAGCTAGTAAATGGCAGAGCTTGGACTGAAACCGAAGTTATCTGTTTTCAGAGTCCATGCTCTTAACCCTTCTACTGCTACACTGACAAATTGTTCGAATATACTTGTCACAATTTTTGCAACTTTGAAGGAGAAAACTATTACCATAATTTTCTCTTAGAATTGGATATCAATAGCTCTTTTTAGTTTCTTTCTCTTTTTTCTAAAGTGGCCAACAAAAACACATTCTCACTCCAACAACCAATAGGACTTTGATCCGAGACTTTTTTTCCACATATTTACTGTGCAAAACAAAAATGACAAGGGACAAAGTTTTACTTTTGAAGAATACTTTTCACCCCAGAGTTCTGAGGCTGAAGAGCTACTTCAAATTTTCAAAGTAGTACAATCTCTAACTGTAGCTTGCTGCTTAAAATAATATTTTGTCAAAAAGACAATAATAATGTATATTATACTAAGTACCATTTTGATGTTCTTCATGTTAGTGGTTCTTGATCTTTTTCTCAAGGCTTTTTATTTATTTATTTTTGTTTGCAGCGTGACCGAATTACAAGTTTTAGAAAATCTACTGTCAAAAAAGAAAAACCTCTTATTCAACATCCTATTGATTCTCAAGTCGCGATGAGTGAGTTTCCCGCAGCTCAGCCATTATATGATGAACGATCTTTGAATTTGTCAGAAAAGGAAGTATTGGATCTCTTTGAAAAAATGATGGTAAGTTAGACCCCTAATTTTGATGTAATTTTAAAATGTGCGTGCCCAGAATAGCACTGAGTTTTAAGTAGGTGTGTTTGTGAAAAGACCAGAAACTTGATATAACAAAACTATTGGCAAAAGTGTCTGTTTTTTTTTTTTCTTTTTTCTTGGCAGTATGTCCTTACCTGTCTGTCTCTTCCACTGTGAACTCCTAAAAGTAGAAGCAGTTTTATTTATCTTGGTTTTCTACTATTTAGTAGTCTCTAGGACATTGAATCAATTTTTCAGTGAACTGATTTGTGTGTGTGTTTCTATAAAGCAAAAGAGGCCTAAGTCCACTTTGCTGAAAACAGCACAAGGTCTCTTGTTGGGTATATGAAATAGAGTTGGGAGGGTAGAGAGTAACAATAGAAGGAACAGAGAAATTAATTCATCTAAGTTTGTTCTATTAGCAACATTCACACAACCTGTATTTTCTAGCATTTTTTCTATGTTTTATAGCTTGTGGCCTAAATAATTTCCTATATTAGGTAACGAATACAATATTTTGAATATTCAGAAGTTTATGGCAGGAGAGGGGGGAAATGAGGCATTACACATTACATTAGTTAATTTGACCAGAGAAGAACTAGAGATCTTGATTGGTGATTTATTCATTCAAAATTATATCCCACATGTTACTATACATTTTTTGTGGTTGTCTATTTATCTGTAGTTAAGAGTCCACAGGAGTTTCAAAGGTCGCCTTACATCAAAATAAAAGGTTAAGAATCAATGAAATCTAGACCCTACTGTGGCCACTATGGAACATCCTGTTACCACCTCTCCCCTTACCTTCATGATTTATCTACTGCACCTAGAAGAGTTAGTGGGACTTTGATAAATATTTGTTGGTAGTTGTTGAATGAATCCAAGCAAAATTTCCCTTTATCTTTAAAATTTTCCTTGACTATTCCTTCCATCTAGCCACAACTGGCATTTTGGCTATTCCCCTGAAGCAACTCCTGACATTTTTACCCTCTAACTCTTCTTCCTGCTTCTGTGATGCACCCTTTTTCCTGCTGCTCCTTTCATGCTATCTTTAAACCATCTTTCAACAACCTTTTCTCTTTTGAAGTCTGTTATCTGCTGACCTTCCTTGGTGATAGCACCTGGCTATACTTTTGTCCTTTTCGCTTTCTGTTCATTTTGGTTATTTCAAATATTATGCTAATAACCCATTCAATACATGCTTTTGCTCTTAGTTCCTTGTTTCCCAAACTCTGACATTTACCTTTATATATTTAGCTAATTATACCTATGACTATACCTTGGACTGTGTCATCCTTTAGAATAATTCCACTTCTAAGGTCTTTAACTCTGAAATTTTCCTTGGAAGCTAAACAATTTACACTACCTTTCCAAGACCCTTAATTTTACAGAGCATGTATTGTGTAGTGGTTAAAAACTTGGACTTTGGGGTCATTCAGAATGTTTGTGGCATTCGTTTCCATTATCAAATAAGCCCTGTCGTGTCTTTAATTGCTAGTATTTCCTGCACCTAGATACTCCTCAGTTTATCACCCTGGTGTCCTTAATCACTGAAAGCAGTGATGACAACAACAAACACAGAAAACAAATAGTCCTTGAGACTATTAACACTTTTAGTGTTTTTGAATCTTTCTTCTCTTTACATAAGAATTATAATCATTGCTTTAAGCTGCTGACAATCTGGTTACTACCTTTTGCAGTATTGAAATAGTTCTGAGTTCATCTATGGCATTGCCCTACTCAGTTCTCTTACACTCAGTGTTACAGGGCCATCTTCCCTTCATTGATTATCTCATTCACTTCTAATTTCTTGCCAAATCCCATTGGATTTGCTTTTGTAATAACTTATATATGTGTCCTCAGTCAGCCTCCAGCTGTTCTTGCCCTACTTTAGATGTTACCCTCTCTAGTTGTTTCTTGTGGCTACTAAAATGGCCTCCTAACTGGTCTTCCTCCCATCCTCCAGGTTTTACCTATTCCAATCCAGTATCACCCTATGATTTGGACACAGAGTTCTTTTCTGAAGCCCCAGGTGGGCCTTTATGTTTTCAGAGAATCAGTTTATATGTCCCTACTCTGTTCCTTCAACTATGCTCCTAGATGCCTTTCACACCTTTGTTTTGCTGCTCCAAACTGAGAACTCTTCCCCATCTTTATTATTTGCTCATGACCTTGCTGGTTAATTTACTGAGTAAATTGAAGCATTCAGAAGAGAATTTCCACAGGCTCCCACCACCAAATTTACCTTTTAGTATCTGTATTCACATATCTGTCTTGCTACTACCTATCACCGTAGTTGAAATTTTCATTTCCCCATTCTTCTACTTGTGTATAACTTTCCATTCCTTTTCACTTACTCACAGATATTGCTCAATAATTTTCTCTTCTTTCTCCTACCATTCTGAGGAGCATATAAACATACTGTCCCATTTTTCGAAAACCTTTACTTGACCCTTTCTCTCTTGCTTGTTATCACTCCATTTATTTACTCGCCTTTGAAGCAAAGCCCCTCACAGTAATTTTATTTAGATGCACTGCTTCCAGTTTCTATAGTTTGTTTTTTTTTCAGATGGAGTCTCACTCTGTCACCCAGATTGCAGTGCAGTGGCGCAATCTTGGCTCACTGCAACCTCCATCTCCCAGGTTCAAACGATTCTCATGCCTCAGCCTCCCAAGTAGCAGGGATTACAGGCACATGCCACCACACCTGGGTAATTTTTGTATTTTTTAGTAGAGACAAGGGTTTCACCATGGCCAAGCTGCTCTCGAATTCCTAACCTCAGGTGATCTGCCCACCTTGGCCTCCCAAAGTGTTAGGATTACAAGCCCAAGCCACCACGTCCTGCCCATTTATGTTAGTCGTTAATTTTTAAATTTATGTACAAGATTTACAGTGTTTTTCGAACTTTATACATTTCTACTTTGTGGTTTGAATATCCTAATGTTTCATCAGAAAATTATTTCCTGTTTAAATGTGATATTTTAAAAAAAAAGAGATTTGCTTGTTGGATTCATTAATGTGATTTAAAGAACTGAATAACTTTGTGCCACATTTTCCCTAATGGGAATTTTTTTCTTCCATGGGAGTTTTGAAATAGGATCTTAAAGAAATATATTTTTCAGGTACTATCATGTTGTATTTTAATTTTATTTGATGAATCTCTTTTATGTTGTTATATGACCCAAATAATCAAACATTATAGACTTGTATATGCAGATATTAAAAACTTACTTATATCTAGTAGTAGGATTGCTGGATCATATAGTAGTTCTATTTTTAATTTGTTTTTTGAGAGTCTCGCTCTGTTGCCCAGGCTGGAATGCAGTGGCTTGATCTCAGTGCACAGCAACCTCTGCCTCCCGGGTTCAAGCAATTCTCTGCCTCAGTCTCCCAAGTAGCTAGGATTATAGGTGCCCACCACCGTGCCCAGCTAATTTTTATATTTTTAATGGAGATGAGGAATCACCATTTTGACCAGACTGGTCTTGAACTCCTGACCTCATGATTCACCTGCCTCAGCCTCCCAAAGTGCTGGGATAACAGGTGTGAGCCACTGTGCCTGGCCCTATTTTTCTTTTTTTAAGGAACCTCCATGCTATTTATCATAGTGGCTGTACTAATTTACATTACCACCAACAGCACATACAAGTTTCCTTTTCTCCACATCCTGGCCAACAGTTGTTGTCTTTTGTCTTCAATAATGGCTGTTCTAAAAGATGTGAAGTCATATCTCATTGGTGTCTTAATTTGCATTACGTTAAGTGAAATATGTTAGGTACAGAAAGATAAATACCACATGATCTCATTCCTATGTGAAATCTAAAAATGTTGGATTTCATAGAAGTAGAGAGTAGTATAATTAAAAAAATAACAAAATAAAGGTACGCATATGTATGATGTATACATATACCAAAAAAAAAAAAAAAAAAAAAAAGAAGTAGAGAGTAGAATGGTGGTTACCAGGGGACGGGGTATTTGGGCAGTGGGGAGAGTGGGTAGGATGGGGAGATAGTGGTCAAAGGATACAAAATTTCAGTTAGATAGAGGTATAACTTCAAGAGATCTATTATACAATTTGGTGACTATTGTATTTTTGAAAAACTGTAACAGTAGATGTAAAGTGTTCTCACCACAAAAATGACAACCATGTGAGATAATGCACACATTAATTAGCTAGATTTAGTCCTTCTACAATGAGTATATACTTCAAAACATCATGTTATATGTGCTAAATACATACAATTTTATCTGTCAATTAAAACTTATTTATAAATGGCCATATATTTTTCAATGACAGTATAATAAGATATCAGAAAATATGGTTTGATTAAAAGTAACAACCAAAAGTTTAACTGAAAACTTTCAAAGTTATATCTCTTCTTTGAGAGAAGTCTACTTATACCCTGAATATTACATATTTTCTATAGTATCTTAGTTTGACTGTAATAACCTTACAGTGAACAAATTATGAATAACTGTAGTTTTCATCTACTGTATACTTATGGCTAAGGCATGAAACTAAACCATTTAAATTTATTATTTCAGTTGATCATTAAGACAGTGCCACAAAGTAGGTAAGATTGTTATACCCCATTTTCAGATAAGGAAAGTGAAGCATAGAGGGGTAAGAAAATTGGTTCATTAACTTGACTAATTTAGTAAGTGGCTGAGCTGAAACTTATATTTAGGTACATAAAAATCTAAAACATTGACATTTTTGTAACATGTACCTTTAATAATGCTTCATTTAAGCTCAATATAAAATTAATACATTTCTCTTGGACACATATTGAGGAGAAGTGGAAGGCAAATCAGAGGTACATTAGAGTGGTAGGTGAAGCCAACCTGGGATGGATTATTTCCTACTGATGATGGAACATTGTCTGTAATTGTTTTTACAGAATATCAATTGAAAAGAATGGGTATAAAAATCTAGCAATGGAAAATTGTTTAAAATGTCATTATCACAGTTGATAGGGAGAAAGCA